AAGTAAAAAGAAACTCAGAAGTTCCTTTATGTATTTTTTTCTTTTTAAAAATATATATTTTGGTAAAATTTAGCAAATGGAAATTCTTTTTTCTCATGAAACCAAATTGATTAGTCATGCATCAGATCTAGGACTGATCTGTGGCAGATTTAATCTGTATGTAATTTGTATTCTACATGTTCATTTTAAGTTAAGTTTGTAACATAGTATCCAGTACCTACAATGGTATAAATGGGGTTAAGTACTCATACTAGCCTATAAATTATGATTCTAGTGATATGAATCGGAATTCTGGCTCTTAGGAAGTAGATTATAATCCTGGTAGTATTAGCCTGAGTTCTGGATCCTGGGAACTGAGGTACAGGACCTCCTCTTTTCTTAGGTATGGGCTAACTCTAAATAAAATTTTGAAATAGGCTCTTTACTGTTAATGTTTTCCTCTTGTCATTTCTGACTCCCATTTTTCATGTACTAGTGCTCTTGTTCTACAAAAACCCCATATACTCCTCCTTTCTCAGATCCTTATGTAGATCTGCCTTTTCTTCCTCCAGATATTCCATGTTCCCAAATTATCTCCTTTCCTAGTTCAAAACTCCATTGCCCATTCGTATATAATAATAAAGCTAATCTTACCTACATGTCGACTTAAGTATAAGTCACTACTGAATTATAGATGATGTAACCCTCCAAATATTTGCACTTAACAAAAAAAGGAAAAAGTTACATCCTTAGTACCTGTTTATTTCTGACCACAGTGCAAAAGAGTGAACACATTTTGCAGTACTGTGCAAGCTATATTATGGGATGAAGAACAGGAATTAAAGCAGCTGGCTTTATCTGGAAATCTAGCAACTACTTGGCTTGTTTTGCTCTTCCAAGACTCTCACTTTATAAGCATCCATACAGTTCTTTTTGTGGACAACCTGATTGTTTCCCTAAAGGTAGTAACAAACATATGCACATAAACCACACATTTGTAAACATATAAATGGAAATCTCTTTCCTTTGTAGTACTCATCCCCTTTGTAATTCTCTTCTCTAGTAGGTTGCAAGCTTGAGTGGATACAAGCAATTTTGTTGCCTGCTGGATTTCCAGCACTGAGTGCATTGTTTGACACATGAATTAATGAACCCAGCCCTCTAAAAGATTAACATTTAATGCCTGTGCTTTTGATAGCAACAGCAGGAATTCTAGTGAATTTGTATAGGAATAGAGACAGGAATTAATTGTATGTGTATATTATTTAGGTCAGAGATCATTTGCAATACTCTTTTTGATATTTGAATTCAGTTATTTTAATATTTAAGGGCTGAGGCTAAGATACAATAAAGTATTGAAGTTAAGAAAACAAAATTTGGAGAATCATTAAAATTTCAGCTTCTTCCTAGCTATAAGACTTCTGCCTATAATTTGTCATTCTATCATGTGACAACTATGCACTTCTGTATTTCTCCAAGCATAGGTTCTTTTAATTGTGAGCATTGTGCTGTTTATAAAATTCAAGGTTTTGGTGTGCTTCAGCTTTTGTTTTGTGTGCACAGGTGGTGGTCGGTATGTTCCCAGTTCGTCAGTATCTTCTAACACACTGCCTACAGCAGATCCTTTTACAGGTGGGATGCAGTTTTAATTAATTTATCTTTCTTTACTAAATATATAGCACTTTGCATTACATGAATTTACATTTTGAAGATGTCATCCAGTAACTGATAATTGCCTTATCTATATTTCCAATTTTGATGGATCTCCTTTTCATTTTTCTTTTTTTTTTTTTTTTGAGAGACAGAGTCTGCTCTGTTGCCTGGGCTAGAGTGCTGTGGCATTAGCCTAACTCTGAGCAACCTCAAACTCCTGGGCTCAAGCCATCTTCCTGCCTCAGCCTCCTGAGTAGCTGGGACTATAGGCACATGCCACCACGCCTGGCTAATTTTTTCTATTTTTAGTAGAAATGGAGTCTTACTCTTATTCAGGCTGGTCTGGAACTCCTGACCTCAAGCAATCTCCTGCTTTGACTTCCCAGAGTGGTAGGATTACAACAGGCATCAGCCACCACGCCCAGCCCAGGGTCTCCTTTTCTTTAACTTCTAATTTTGCCTTTTCTCAGAGCAGTTTTGTAGATTTACTCATGACATTTAAATAGCATATTATTAGAACTCTTTTTCCAAGAGACAGAGTAGTTAAGAATATAGGTTTTAGAGTCAGACAAACCTTGGTTCAAAATCTGGCTCTTCCACTTACTTGCTATGAGAAGATGACAAGTTACTTAACCTGTCTGAGCCTATTTTTTTTTAATCTGTGAAATTAGATAATAGGGGAACCCACCAACCAAGACACAGCATGAGTGCTGTCACTGGCGAGATGCTACCCGTCACAAGCAGAGAAGGAGCCGTGTGAGTCCCTGGTATTGGATGGAGCAGTGCAATCAAGAAGTCTGCCCAGGCATATTTTGACTTAGCATGGAAGACATTTCATCCAGCTCCCCAGGATTAGTCTTCCTAATCTAAGTTATTAATGGCCTTCTTGAAGCCCACGAAGTGTTGGTGTATCTCTTCAAAGTGAATTTATTTACTAAGGTATACATGCCTCAGCGTCAACACTACTGGAAAAAAAATTCCCAGAGTTTGACTTTAATGAACCTGAAGAAGTCTCTATTTTCATAATGGCTTTTGATATCTTTTATGATGCTGTTGTTGGATCTTCAGCCAGAGTTCCTCAACAGTATACCCAGTGTGGGAAGAGATTCATAACCTTTACGGATTCACCAGCCTTATAGCCATACTACTGTGAGCTATAAAGATGACAACCTGCAGTCGTCTCTCAGCCATAGATGGTACAAACACACAACCTTAGGTCAATGTCATGAAGTTGTGAATTGCTCTCGGTGAGCCTCCTTTTTCCTGTGAATGAATTGGTGGCCCAGCTGCAGATGGTTGCACCTTTTGTGCAGTTAAAACCAGTTACTAAAATAATCAACTCTCAAGGTAAACGCTGTGGTACAGTGGTGGTTAAGGAAGTGGTAGAAAGGATCTGAAGAGTAGATAAGATGATGACTTTCTTTTTATCCGCAGTTTAGGAACAGTGATGCCCTGAAACTTACACCTACAGAGAACCCAAATCTCATTGGTGGCTATTTTCTGGAACAGAAAGAACATACTAAGCTTCAACCAATACCAACAAAATCAAGAAAACTCCTGAGGCTGTTACAACTAGAGCATGTCTCACTGTTGCAGTGTCAATAATTCAGAAGATGTGGTGATTATGTAGATTTGCAAGATGGCATGCTAAATGTCGAAGATAATTATGATATTAGGAGAACTGAACTATGCTTTTATAAAAAATAGATAAGAGCATCTATCACATTGAGATATGAAAATTAAATGGCATAATACATGTAAAATGTTTAGCAAAATGCCTGGAATATATTTAAACCATCAGTGTATGTTAGTTATTGTTCTTGATGTTGTTCCTCCAACTTTAACAATAGCATTAGGGCCAAAAGATTTCCCCATCTGGCTACAACTTAAGGTCAATCTTAATTCTTTTTCTTTTCCTTATTAATTTATGCAGTTCTCAAACTTCAAATGTCTATGAGAATGGTCTTGGGAAGCTTGCTTAAATTACTTATCCCAAGGTCTTACCCCCAGAGATTCTGATTCACTAAGGTTAGTGAGGAGATTAAGAATCATGTCCTGATCCTTTGCCTAAGGATTCTGATTAAATGGCCTTGGTTGTGGTTTGCTCTTAGATTTTTTAAAAGTTCCCTGTGTGTTTCTAAAGTGGAGCTAGTTTGGAGTATCACTAGGTTAATGGGTGGACGCTGGGAATTTGCACATTGAATAGGTGGCCCTCATTCAGGCGGTCAGAAAACCATATTTAGAAAAGTGTAAGACTACACTTTGCCTCTTAATAGCGTGATGTCTTGAGCAAGTTACTCAACCTTTCTCTTCTAAAATACTGTGAATTACAGTGGTATCTACTTAATACTTTAATGAGTATATACATAAGAGATACTTAGCCTGGCATATAGTTAAAACTCAACAATTTCATTTATTCTGTGTTTTTCATTATATTGGTCTTATTGACTATTTAATTTAATTTTTTTTTTTTTGGTTTTGCTTTTTAGTTTTGTTTGCCTTTTCTCTATGTATTACACTGTTTATATCAATTCCCAGGTTATAAACTCAGGCTAGAACAATAGCTCATCTTTCTTCTTCCCACAAAGACTGATCCAGGGCTTTGAACATCTCTAAATCCTACTGATTCTCTGTACACTTATTTTTCATGTATCTTTCTTTGCATTTTCAATAAGATAGCCACAAATGTTATCTCAAATGTGACTGGGCTGTTGTCATAGCATCTCTAACTCTTAACCTAAGTTTTTTCTGATTGTCCGATGTGCTAGCTAGTTCTATCCCTTTACTTCAGTAGAATAGTGTTCACATTTTATTCTGGAAACCTTTCTCTACAATCCACTTATGTTTTTGTAATTTATTGAACTTCTGTAATTATAATGTATAAGGCATCTAATGGTTACTTTGTAGTTTGAGAATTACTTTTTAGCTAACATTTATTGGGCACTTACTGCATACCCAGACACTATTGTAAATATTTTTCTATGTTAAATTTACAGTACATTTATTATGTATATAAAGATGCTATTTTGAAATGTACCTACTAGTGGAAATAAGTTATTCTATGTAAAGAAGGAATAATTTGAACTTTGTCATTTGCAGTTAACTTTGCTTACTAAGAGTATTATTGCATTGTAGGTGCTGGTCGTTATGTGCCAGGTTCTTCAAGTTTGGGAACTACCGTGGCTGGAGTTGATCCATTTACAGGTACATACTTTTCATTTCCTTTTCCTTTTTTTAGATTTTTAAAATTCATTGAAACTTTCATCTAATGAAAAGAGAAAGAAAATTTGTGTCATTTTCTTGCTTGAGAACTTTTTATAGAGTAAATCAAGACCAAACTTCTTGGCTGGCTTTTGAAGTTTTCTCAGAATTGTCTTATTACTGCACATTAGAATCATCTGAGGAGCTTTAAAAAAGTACTTCAGCCTCATCCCCAGAGAGGCTTACTTGATCTAATACTGCTCTGGGTTGGGGTCTTGGCAAGGGTAGCTTTATAATTTTCCAGTGTGATTCTAATATGCACCCAGGATTGAAAACTACTGTTTTAATATATTAATAGTAAGGCTGCTTTCCTCACCACCCTTACAAAATCTCTGTTTATTTCTCCTTCATTCTTATTAACGTGTTGAGAATGTTATTCATATTATACATTGTTCTCTTTACAAACACTCAGTGCATGGTAATGTGTGCCTGTAATGATCACACCTGTGAGAAGCCACTGCACTCCAGCCTGGGCAAAAAGCAAGACCCCATCTCTTTAAAGAAAATAAAAAGAATCAATAAAGAATTTGCTTTTATGACTTAGGCCTGGAATAGCTGGGCTTCTCCTAAGTAACTATTTCTGGTTTTTTTTGTCCTTAGTTTCTAGTCTACAGTTTGACATATCTTACTTGTTCATTGAATATATTCAGGCTTGTTTTCCTCTGTATTGGCTGTCAGTAAAATGTAGAGCTGAATTTATGGCTCATCTCTTTCAAGTCTGACAGATCTCTTGACATACATTTTTTTCTTCTACTTACTTATTTTATGTTTTATATGATACAAGAGAATTTGAGTAACGTGTTATTCAGCATCATAAAATAAACACCCATAAACTCAGCGCTCTGCCTTTTTTGAGATAGAGTCTCACTCTCTTGCACAGGCTAGAGTGTAGTGGCATCATCTTAGTTCACCGCAACCTCAAACTCCCAGGCTAAAGCAATCCTCCTGCCCCAGCCTCCCAAATAGCTGGGACTATAGGTGTATGCCACTACACCTGGCTAATTTTTTGTATTTTTTTGTAGAGATGAGATCTTGCTATATTGATCAGGCTGGTCTCTAACTCTCTGCCTCATGTGATCCTCCTGCCTTGGCCTCCTTAAAGTGCCAGGATTATAGGTGTGAGCAACTGTGCCCAGCCTACCACCACTCCACTTAAGAACTAACTTCACATGTGATTTCATAAACCATTTTTAATTGCAAAAGTAACATTAACTGACAATATTGAAGTATAACGTATTTAAGAGTAACATAACATATAACAATGATCTTTCTACAGTTTATTCTGTTTATGTACCTCCCTTGATTAAAAAACCCTTCTATGGCTTTCCACAGAATATTTTCTCTTGCCTTGCTTTACACCTTTCTCTGCTTTTCATCTGTCCAGCTATACTGGCCTGTGTCGGTTTCTTGAGTATGCCACGCTATTTTTCTACCCCAGGAGCTTTGAACTCACTGTTCTTTTTTGGAATACTTATGCCCCTTGTTATTTAGACCAAAAATTACTGGTTGTTTCCCCCCCTTTTTAATTTAATTTTGTATCATAGTATTTATTAAATGAATTAAATAACCTTTTCTAAAAAGTCACATGTCCTTTGCCTTTTCTCTCTAATATACTCAGAATATTAAAATAAATCTTATTAATATTTTTGCAAAATACCTTAATTTTATATTAGAATAAAAATGAAGTTAAAATTAATTAAATTTTAAAATGTAGGTAAGATATGAATTAGATTTAAATTATACTTTAGTTGAAGATGAATTGCCAAATTGTCATATTGTGCCAATTTTTTGTTCGTCATCATATATTGAGTTTCAGTTATGTTAATACTTAAGATGTAAAAAAGTATAAAAGACTAGGTCCCTTGCCCTTCAGGAATTTACTTGGGAGGATTTATAAAGATGATGTAGAAAATGATTAGTGTAAATAACAAAGCCTACTACATAATTTGGAATAAGCAATAAAAGGAAAAGGGAGAGCCTTAGAGGAAATGGGAAGGGGAAGTTTCATAATTGTATTCTTCAATCTTCTTAAAAATTTATAATTTAGATTGAATCTTAAAAACAGAAAAGTGTAATAGAAAATGTGAGCTGGAAAGGCCTTGTTCTACATTTGAGCCTCTGTTCTCACAACCAAAAATTATTATATCTATGAATATAAATTGGGTACAATGGCTCATGTCTGTGATCCCAGTATTTTGGGAGGCTGAGTTGAGAGGATTTGCCTGAGGCCAGGAGTTCAACATCAGCCTGGGCAACATAGTGACACCCTTTCTCTACAAAAACAACAATTTAAAAAAGAAACTATACAAAGTCTTATGAGTGATTTCTGTTTTTCCCCCTTGAGGTTGCTTGTTATTTTATTGCATGCACCAAGTAGTTACATATTAATAATTGTGAAAACAAAGTCATAGAGTTAAAAAATCTCATTTTCATCATTCTTATGATTTTCATCATCTTCTAATCTGTAAATAGGGAATAGTGCCTACCGTTCAGCTGCATCTAAAACAGTGAATATTTATTTCCCTAAAAAAGAGGCTGTCACTTTTGACCAAGCAAATCCTACACAAATATTAGGTAAGTCTGTTTAATTAATTTTCTCATGTACCCGCAGACTGAGATGTTCCCAAGGCTTTATCTTCTTAATGTGTCAGGAACTGGGTACTTAATATGAATAGAGATTTTTATTGTGGTATTAAACACCTCTGTCAACTACAAATATACAATCTGGTAATGGAGCCTTACTACTTTGTAAGAAGCCTTATACAAATATAAAGTAAGTGCTTTATGATGACTTTAATAAAAAGAAAATTAAAAGGGGAAAATGTAAGTTCCGACCCCCTAAGATCTGAATGTTTTTAGAAAAATAAATTAATGAAAATGAATGAGTAAAGCATTTGAAAAATAAAGATCTTATGTTTAAAAAAATCGGTAGCCCTTAGAAATAATAAAAGGCTATTTTAAATTGCCCATTAAAAATGAAACTGCTCATGACGAGAATCTTACCACCATTATCCTAAGTGAGGCAAAAAAGATTAAAAAAAAAAGATAAAAAAATGAAAACTGATCTATTGACTTTGATTGCTTTTTCCATTAATTTGTGTTTCTCAAAAAAAAAAAATGACACGATTTTTTGGACTAAGAGAACTTCTAGCTCTGTTTACCACAAAGATTATGGTGAGAATTAATTGAGATAATATAAAATACATATCTTAATACAAGGCAAGGCATCTTTGGTCAGTATTATCCTTCATTTTACCTTCATAGAAATCACTCATTTCTTAATTGCTTTGTTTAGAACAATAAAGAAGTTTATATATACTTTTAGACATTCTTAAACTCTTATATAAATCTAAGAGGTTTCTTGATTTTTGCATTCATTAATAAATTTTGTTTTTAATAGTTTATTAGTGTTAAAAATTTTAATGCCTAAGAATAGTGAAACAGGTCCAAGTTTACATTCATGATTGATAAAAAATTATAAATTTGTACAACTTCTTAAATCTTTGTGATGGGAATTTGGGGTTTTTTTCTTGAAGTAAAGATTTTTGAAGCAACACAATGACTCAAAGTAGTATTAGTGATGACAAGGACACTGATATTGAAGATACAGAAATTATCGATAGGCATTTAACCCTGACTATTTCATTCACAGCAGTAGAAGTTTATATAAGTTGGCCGAAGAGTGGTTATAAATTTTCTCATTGAGAAAATAGAAGACTGACTTATACTTGGTATATATGACATACGATAGTACTTTGAAAACTATTCAAAATGGTTATAAATATGATATACATTAAAACTGTATTCAAAGCAGAAAGTTTCAGAAGGTCTTAGAAAATAATAGGTAAAATAAAAATGATCACAGTAACCTTTCGTTTACACTGTGCTCAGCTTAAAAATACTCACAAGCCTTATCCTTATTTTATGGTTTTTGACAATTGCTGAGAAAACTCTTAACTTCCCATGGCATACAGTAGCATATTCTTATTGAAAAATTTGTTATTTATGAATTATCTGGCTAATTACAGTTAGGGTATTTTGAAGATTTGGTGTTGGGTTCTAGGTAAACTGAAGGAACTTAATGGAACTGCACCCGAAGAGAAGAAGTTAACTGAAGATGACTTGATACTTCTTGAAAAGATACTGTCTCTAATATGTAATAGTTCCTCAGAAAAACCCACAGCCCAGCAACTTCAGATTTTGTGGAAAGCTATTAACTGGCCTGAAGGTAAATAAACACTCTTCAAAATATTGCTAGAAAGCAGGAAGTGTATCTTCATTTCTCTCAATATTACTGTTTTTTCTAAATTAAATATAAAATTTAACCTGGGTAGTTCTAATTCATTGTGAAAAACTTCACACAAAAACTTCACATTCACTATGCCACCGTAATTCATAGTCTTATTTAGGTCATATGCCTTATGTGAGAATCTGAAGGTAATATAATTATCTTTGTACTTGTACCAGTTTGTATACTGTTTCAGAGCATTTGTGGATCCCCTACAAGTCTTATAAGAAACTTTGTGACCTGTTAACCCTAGGCTGCAAACAGTTGCTACACGTATTTTTTTCTAGTTATGTCAGTTAAGTCTTTTTAAATTCTCAAAATGTCCTCTCCCCCATTATTTTTCATGCCATTGATTTATTGAAGAAAAAATTATTTTTTTCTACACAGTTTTCTGTATTGTGGATTTGGCTTATCACTTATTAAGAAATGTCTGTGTTTCTTACAAGTGGCATAATTAGATTCTGGTTCAATAATTATTTTTAGGTGAAGATCCTTTATAAACGGTGCTGTGGGCTGGGCGCGGTGGCTCACGCCTATAATCCTAGCACTCTGAGAGGCCCAGGTGGGTGGATTGTTTGAGCTCAGGAGTTCGAGGCCAGCCTGAGCAAGAGCGAGACCCCGTCTCTACTAAAATTAGAAAGAAATTAATTGGACAACTAAAAATATATAGAAAAAATTAGCCGGGCATGGTGG